AAAGCTCCCGGGTGATTCTAATGTGCAGGAAAGTTGGAGAACTACTGCTCTGGAGTCCTCTTACCCCCTGTGCCATCTTCTGAGTAGACTTAGTCCAGGGGGCGCTTACCTGAGTTCACATGATTATTTTGCCACCAAGTAGCTGTGTGGCCTTCTGTGTATCTAAACCCAAGCCAAACTCATAACTGTTGAGTCGATTCAGACTATTAATGACCCCTATAGGACAGAGTAGAACTGACCCCTTAGGGTTTCCAAAGCTCAAACCAAACTCACTGCCACTGAGTCAATTCTGACTCATGTTGTTGTTGTTGTTAAGTGCCATCGAGTCAGACCTGACTCATAGCGACCCCCCTTGGGTTTCCAAGGCAGTATCACTACGGAAGTAGATTGCCCCATCTTCCTTTCAAGGAGTGGCTGGTGGGTTTGAACCGCCAGCCTTTTGGTTAGCAGTCAAGTGCCTTAACCACTATGCTACCAGAGCTCCCCATTCTGACTCATAGTGACCCTCATTCAGGTTTCAAGGTGGTAAATCTTTATGGAAGTAGATTGCCTCATCCTCCTTCCACAGAGCGGCTGGTGGGTTTGAACTACTAATCTTCTGGTTAGCAATCAAATACCTTAGGCACTGTGCCACCAGAGCTCCTCCATATCTGTGTGTAGGTCTTTTTCATTTATAAAACAGAGGAGCATCAAAACCAGCCCCACTAGCTCACAGGTCTCTTGTCAGGAGGGAAGACTCTGATGGGACTTTGGAGAAATCACACTTTTATCATTTTACTTTAGTTTACAACACAGTGCACAGAGAGCCGACCAGGACCACAGTTCCCGAGAATGCTTCCCAAGGGGAACAGCTGTATCAGAATCACCTGGCACCCCTGCTGGCAATGTGCTTCCTGCACCTCCTGGCACATGACTAACCAGAACCTCTGGGGGTGAGGTGCCAGGAGGCACACTTTGAACAAATCCCCTGGGTAATTCTTTTTGTCTTTTTTTAAATAAGATAATTTTTTCTTTTATTGTTTCTCATATTTTTTTTATTGTTGTTGAAAATATACATAGGAAAACATACTCCATTTCAACAGTTTGTACATGTACAGTTCAGTGACATTGATTACAGTCTTCAGGTTGTACAACCATCTTCAACCTCATTTTTTGAATTGCTCCTCCCCCATTATGTAAACTCAGTGACCTCCAAGCTTCCTATTTAATCTTTCTAGTTGCTGTTGTCAATTTGAGCCCAGACAAATCTTTAAAGGAGCATGATCTTCAAGGCTCTCTGGGTAATTCTTATGCACACTGAAGTTTGAGAACCAATACCAAGGTTAGCGGGGTTGTTGGCCACCATTAAGAACTTGCTCAGTCTACCTGGTGGAAGTCTGCTCACGACTCATTCAGACTTATCTGCCCTACATTCCCTCTCATGACTCCCCCACTTTCATTATTCTCTACTTCTGTCCAAGAGTGAACTTTTAGGTACACCAGTTACGTCATGACTTGATGATGGGGAGCAAAATCTTGCTCTTACAAAATAGCCTGCTTTGGGGATCAGGTCACAGCTGGTAAGAGTGACATTGTGCAGAACCCTTGACAAAGTTCCCAACTGAGATACAGGAAGCCTTCAAAGAAGCATATTCTTTTTGGTATAAGTCAGGAACAGGATAGGACTAGGAACCAGCCCCATCAGACACTGATAAGTAATGGCAGGATGTGCGAAGGGCTTTGGGATTTTGAAATTAAAGATAAACCTTCAAAGATATTAGAGACCTTGTTAGGGAGTCACCTGAAGATAATTCGCCTTTCCCTGGAGACTCGCCTCAGGAGCCAATTAGAGGATGCAGGTTGGGCAACGAGTATAAGAAACTCTCAGCAAAGTCTAGCACTGGATCAGAGGAAGCTCAGGGAGAGAGGCTGGTGGGCCCCTACCTGTGCTATGCTGCGCTGAGTCTGAAAAATACCAGAGACTCAAGTATCAGGGAAATAGTGTTTTGCCAAGGGTGTAAGGAAGGAGAAAACAAACACAAACCAACCCAACACACACACACAAACTCCTGCTGCCAAGTTGATTCTGACTCATAGCGACCCTATAGGACAGAGTAGAAGTACCCCATAGAGTTCCCAAGGCTTCAGTTTTTAGTAAAACAAACTGCTGCATCTTTCTCCAGTACAGGAAAGAGAAAGACTCCATAAAGTGAGAATAAGACAGAGCAACTGGAAGGACCCTCGTCTCAACCAATTTGCTGCCTTGTTATTTATTCATGGAAACAAAGAGGAGGTCATTGAAGCTCAGAGAGGAAAAGTGACTTGCTCACGGTCACACATCTACGTGGGAAATCTCACAGGGCTTTTTGCCTGCCATCCTGGGTATGCAGTTCTTGTCAGTGGAAGAGAGAGCAGGTCACAGGCAGAGGAAACATTGGACAAAGGGAGAAAGGCGCTAGCAAAGTGGAATTCAGGTGAGGATGGTTCATGCCCAGCTCATGGCTTCCTGATCTAATTTCTTTTCTTTGTCATTATCCCTAAGGGAGCATTTCAGTGTTGGCTTGGCTTCTGGTGTGTGAGAAATTCAAACATGATCAAACTCCATCTTTACTGCTCTGTTCTAGGACTCCACCAGTCAAAAATAAAAGTGAAAAAACTCGAACCCCTTGCTGTTGAGCTGATTTTGACTCATGGAGACTCCATGTATTATGGAATAGAACTGCTCCGTAGGGTTTTCTTGGTTATAATCTTTATGGGAGCAGATTACCGTGGGGCTGCTGGGTGGTTTTGAACTGCCAACCTTTAGGTTAGTAGTTGAATGCAAACAGTTTGCCCTACCCATGGACCTCGGGACTCTGCAAAGAACCTTCAGCTCCATTAACTCAGATTCTTCCACGAGCGCTCAGGCAACACCAGATGGCAGAGGTACTTCTTCTTCCTGCTTTCAAATTTGGATTCAGTTTCTTGTCAAATTACTGCTTTTTATTAGGGACTGTTAGAACAACAAAACAATGCTTATGGAGATTTGTTAGGTGCTAAAAGGAGCTTATATTTGCTCTTTTGATTCCAAGGTTAATGCTAATACTTATAAAAAAGATCTCCCTTAATCGCCCAGACAGTTCTAATTAGGCTAACAGCTGTTTGTTAAGCATGCATGTTGTTAGATTGAGGATAGAAATACTCTTACAAACAGAGTCCGTTGCTGACTACTAATGGACTTTTTTTTTTTTTGGTTTACGCTCTTTTGCTTGTAGAATATAAATTTTCCTTATTTAAAATAGTCATTAAAATTTTAAATAGCCACCATATATGGAGTGCTTTTATCTTTCCAATGCACTTTTGCATCAGTTTTAATCTGTGCATTAACTTTATCTCATGAGCAGGGCAGACATTATGATCCTCTTTTGCCAGAAGAAGAAATTGAAGTTCAGAGAGTTTAAGTGCCTTGTGTAAGATCAAAGAGCTACTTTGGCACAGAATTGCAAATATGAGCTGACTTGTAAGTCAGATAATTACTTGCTCTCCTTTTTCACTATAACAAAGGACCCATCACTTCTTATCTTGTATTAAAGTGAGGCATCTATTACTCTAAATATGTTTACCTGTGTTTCATTGACTATGCAAAGGCATTTGACTGGATAACAACAAAGTGCAGGTAACATTGCAAAGAATGAGAATTCCAGAACACTTCACTGTGCTCATGTGGACCCTGTACATAGACCAAGAGGCAGTCACTAGAACAGAACAAGAGGTAATAATACTGCATGGTTTAAAGTCAGGAAATGTGTTTGTCAGGGTTATATCCTCTCACCATATTTATTCAATCTTATACTGAGCAAGTAATCTGAGAAACTGGACTATATGAAGAAGAAGAAGGAATCAGGATCGGAAGAAGACTCATTAACAATCTCCAATAAACAGTGACACAGCCTTGCTTGCTGAAAGTGAAGGTGACTTGAAGCACTTGCTGATGAAGATTAAAGACTACAGTCTGCAGTATGGGTTACATCTCAACACGAAGAAATCTAAAATCTTCACAACTGCACCAGTGAGCAATGAAGAAAATATTGAAATTGTTGAGAATTTTATTTTACTTGGATCCACAGTCAATGTCCATGGAAGCAGCAGTCAAGAAGTCAAATGACATATTGCATTGGGCAAATCTACTGCAAAAGACGTCCTTAAAAACAAAGACATCACTCTGAGGACTAAGGTGCACCTGACCACAACCTTGGTATTTTCAGTTGCCTCATAGGTATGTGAAAGCTGGACAATGAATAAGGAAGACCACAGAAGAATTGCTTAATTTGAATTGCGATGTTGATGAAGAATATTGAAAAGCTGTGGACTGCCTGAAGAATGAACGAATCTGTCTTGGAGAAGTATAGTGAGAATGCTCTTTGGAAGGGAGGTTGGTGAGACTTCTTTTCACTTACTTTGGACATGTTGTCTGGAGGGACCAGTCCCTGGAAAAGGACATCAAGCTTGGTAAAGTAGAGGGTCAGCAAGAAAGAGTGATGGATTGACACAGTTGCTTGAACAATGGGCTCAAACAACGATTGTGTGGCTGGTGCAGCACCCAGCAGTGTATCTTTCTGTTGTACATAGGGTTGCTATGAATTGGAGTCTACAACATCTAACTGTCTATTTCCACCTTCACCTGCAGTTTGTTGAAGTCAAGCGCTTGGACAATATATATTCAATATGAAACTTTATCACCTTGAAATGAAGGTGTTTGTGGGTGTTGCAAACAGTTAAGTGCTCAACTACTAGCCAAAAGGTTGGTGGTTTGAACCCACCCAGAGGTGCCTTGGAAGACGGCCTGGCAGTCTGTTTTTGAAAATTCACAGCCTTGAAAACCCTTTGGAGCAGTTCTATTGTTCACACATGGGGTTCCCATGAGTCAGAATTGACTTGATGGCAACTAACAATAACCACCACCTTGAAATGACTTGAACTTCTCCTCAGGGGTCCCCTGATGTGGCTCCTGTCTTTGCCCTCACAGGTCAACCATTGAATGGATGGCTGGGAGAAATCACACCATGGTGACTGAGTTCTTCCTCATTGCATTCACTGAGCACCCAGAGTGGGGGCTTCCTCTCTTCCTGGTATTTTTGAGTTTCTATCTTGTCACTCTGATGGGTAACGCAGGAATGATCGTCCTGATCCGTAAAGATCACTGGCTGCAGACCCCAATGTATTTCTTCCTCAGCCACCTCTCCTTCGTGGACATCTGCTACTCCTCTGTCATTGTCCCTCAGATGCTGGCTGTGCTACTGGAACACGGTGCTACCATCTCTCAAGCTCGCTGTGCAGCTCAGTTCTTCCTCTTCACCTTCTTTGCCTCCATTGACTGCTACCTCTTGGCCCTCATGGCCTATGACCGCTATGTGGCTGTGTGCCAACCCTTGCTTTATGTCACCATCATGACTGAGAAGGACCGCTTAAGTTTAGTGGCTGGTGCTTATGTGGCTGGTTTCTCCAGTGCCTTTGTTCGAACAGTCACAGCCTTCACGCTCTCCTTTTGTGGAAACAATGAGATCAACTTCATTTTCTGTGATCTACCACCTCTTTTAAAACTCACATGTGGGGAAAGCTACACTCAGGAAGTGGTGATTATTGTGTTTGCCATTTTTGTCATGCCTGCTTGTATATTGGTGATCTTGGTGTCATACTTGTTTATCATCATGGCCATTATGCAGATCCGTTCTGCTGGGGGCCGGGCCAAGACCTTCTCCACCTGTGCCTCCCACCTTACTGCTGTTGCTCTCTTCTTTGGCACCCTCATCTTTATGTACCTGCGAGATAACTCAGGCCAGTCCTCAGCTGAAGACCGAGTGGTATCAGTGTTTTATACAATGGTGACCCCCATGCTTAACCCTCTCATCTATAGTCTTAGGAACAAGGAGGTAAAGGAGGCTGTTAAGAAAGCTCTCAGCAGGTTAAAAGCTTCTGGGAGATCCTAGAGCGTTCTTGTGACATGTTTCATTCCTTAGCTTCTCCATCCTTTGTGTCTTTCCTCAAATACCACATTCTTGGTGAGGCTTTCCTGTATAGCCTCATGTAAAACTGCACCTACCTCCTCTCTGTCTTAATATATTGTTCTGTATAATACATGTCACCATCTATATACTATATACTTACATAATACTGTTTAATTCTTGTAACTAGGAAGTAAACTATAGCAGAGCAAGAATTTCACTGTGAGCTTCATTCCTATATGTCTAGTGCATAGGCAGGGCACCTAGCACATAAAAGTGTCCAATAAATATTTGTTGAATGATTGAATGAATCTCAGGTCCCAGTGTCTTAGCTGATAACACAGTTATCAAAGAATATTCAGAAGAACTCTGGACCATTAGTTAGAAGAACCAAGTTTATTTTGAGTTCTACCTTTAAGTTCTAACTTCTTGAGTCCTCAATTTCCTTATCTGTCAAGTGATTTTACTTACTTTATAAGGACTATATTTTAAGGACCCAATGCATGAATGGATGGGAACCATCTTATTTACTAGTGTCTGCTTAACCTAATACATTGCCTGGCACAACAAATACTTTTTGAGTGAAGCAAGAATGTTTGGTAAATTATGATGATAACTATAAATGCAACTACTGTTTTGATGCAAAGGGATTTTCCATGTCCCATAGATTATTCTTTTCTTTCTTCTTTTTCTGTGGTTTTTAATAAAAATTATAGTAGTAGTAGTACTAGCAATAAAAATTATGATGATGATGATAATGAAGAATATAGTACATATGAAGGTATGTACTGTCTCCAGCTGTGGTCAGTTGGCCATTGTATACAGTCACTCAACTCAGCATTTATAGAAGTGTATTTCTCTTCTTTTTAATTGGTGAAAAAAAAAAAAAAGGTAAAAGCCCAATATGTGGAGGTAGAAGAGAGTCAACAACATTTATTTTGGAATTATTTCAATAGCAACTTCTTCTTCTTCTTTTTTTTAATGTGCTAATATTGTGTGATGTGATAACATGTTAGGGGTGTGTGTGTGTTTGTGTATAAGAAAGTAAAGTGCCTTTATTAAATAAAATGCATCTTCTGAGCTCTAGGAAATTTCATTTTATATTTAAGAAATATATTTAAAAGAAAAGAGTAGGGTGAGTATGTTTAGGAAAAGATATAGGAAAAAAAATTGCATTAGTGGCCAAAAAACTTGGGTTCACACTTCAACTTTTGTTTGTGTTTCTGTACAAAGCACTGGAAGACTTCAGAATGGGGTGAAGCAACCCACAAACTGCATTTTGGGGGCTTTTTTCCAAATGTTAATGGCAATGCAAATATTCTCCTAACATATCAGCTTCTGAAGGTGGTGATAGAGATATGTGTGTTGCACAAATAGCTCAGAATTTGGCCCCAAAGTCTTCAGTGTATTGCTTCTTAGCTGTAACACTTCAGATTAGTTAACATCTTTCAGCCATCTTCCCTTGTGACATCATACTTACTGAGCACTTACTTTGGAAGTGTCATCAGGAAAGACCAATTCTAGAAAATGACATCGCTATTTCATTCCATTGATCCGTTATCTATACCAAAAACCAAAAACCAGCTAGCTCACTGCCATCAAGTCAGATCCAACTCACAGTGACCCCTCCTTAGGTTTCCAAGGTGGTATCACTATGGAAGTAGATTGCCCAGTCTTCCCTCCGAGGAGTGACTGGTGGGTTTGACAATACTATAATGTCTTGAATACTAATAATAAATCTTGGAATCAGTTAGTGCTAGTCCTTCAACTTTGTCCTTTTAAATAGTTATTTTAGCTATTCTAAGTCCTTTGCATTTCCATATGTCAATTTCCACAACAATGTCTATTGGGATTTTGATTGGATTGCATTGATCAATTTGGGGAAAATTAATATCTTCACAATATTCATTCTCCCAACCCATGAACATGGTATGTCTCTCCATTTATTTAGGTTATTTATTTTTTTCATTAATGTTTTATACTTTTCAGTGTACAGACATTAGTCAGATTTTTTTCCCCTAAATATTTCATAAGTTTTGATGCTATAGTAATGGTATTGATGTTTAAAATTTTCATTTCCCATTGGTCCTTGCTAGTATAAGGAAATAAAATTGATATTTCAATGTTGGTCTTATAACCTCAAACTTTAGTAAACTTATTTACTAATTCTAGTAGCTTTTTTTTTTTTTTTCGCAGATTCCAGTGAATTTTTAATATAGGTCATCATGTTGTCTATGAATAAAAACAGTTTTACATCTTCCTTTCCCATCTAAGTGACTTTCTTTTTCTTGCCTTATTATACTGGCTAGAACCTCCAGCATAATGTTGAGTAGAAATGATGAGAGTATAAATTCTTATCCTATTTTTCTTAGGGGAAAGCATTCAGTCTTTCACAATTCATTATGTAGGTTTTTCACAGATATCCTTTAACAGAGAGATTTCTAGTTTGCAGAGAGTTTTTGTCAGGAATAGATGGTTTTTCTGCATCTATTTAGATGACAATACAG